CATCGAGTTCATCGTCTTCCTCTTAATTTCTCAATTTGACATCTAATGGTTTCCATCCTTCCATATATATCCCACTCCAATGTATAGCTACAGTCATAAATTCACAATTGCTCTTGAAATTCACAACTTTTGTTCTTCTTTCTCTTCGCACTTATTTTTTTCTCTCTCTCACAACCGTCTTCCAGTTTTCGTTCTTCCTCCTCTTTGATTTAATCTCATGAAGTGGCTTCGTTTTTGCTCAATTCCTTATTATAATTGTTGTATTAAGTTTTCTCTATTTTCTGGGTCGTACCCGATGTCCTGTGTCTTATCTATTTTCTGGGTTAATTTGGAAATTGAGTTCTAGGGTTCTAAGAAAATTAAAGAGGAAAAGCATATTAGAATCAGAGACCATTTTGGCGATCGCTGCAAATTATGTTGACTGCCAACTTGTGTCGCAGCAATTAGAAAACGGTTTAATCTATGCTTTATGGGAGATCTCAAACTTCAGTTCACCAATGAGAGAATCAAGCGAGCTGTAACTGTTTAATCTAGCAGATCCAAAGAAAATAAGATGAATGTTTACTTTCATAATAGAGCAGAACTTGTATTTGAGGGTATTTTCGTCCAAACAAACTTGAAATGGTTATTTGTTTTATTATGCCACTTTGATGGCTATATTCTTCATTATATGTCTCAATATGGTTATACACCAAATTAACCCTTAATATAAAGTATGATATCTTGATGTTAAAAGTTAAAAAAAAGTTATCATATAAAATGGAGATGAAATAAATAAATATTTAACTTGAAATATAGTTAGGTTTTAACTCAAAGAATTTTAAAAATGTTATGATGTTCTTACAAGTAAAAAGCTAATAAAAATTAGAGTTAGAGTTTGTTATATTAAAAATAGAAGTCTAGTTATTATTTAAATTTCAATGCAACGAAAAGTATGAAAATTTTAAGAATGGTGACATGTTTGTTTCAAAAATAAAACTTATATTTACAAAACTAACATAATAGAAAATAATCAATTGTCATATGCTACCACAAAAAAACATATATGTAAGAAGTTATATATGTTTTTGTTTTTCATCATATTTTGAGTGCAATTGCGATTCTACACCATGTTTACAAATTTTAACGTTGACTCAAATGCATATTAAATTTTAGAAATAAAAAACTCGAGATGAAGTAAGGTGTTATATCTTAATAAAAAAAAACAATTGATCATATTGTTAGTGTTAATTGTTGGATGAACTCAAAATATAATCAAAACATGAAAGTTAACATTTAAGTATCATAATTCAAAATTTCAAATCAATAAATATAAATAAAATCAAACAGAAAAATTGTGGCAAACAGCCCCGCGCTTGCGCGGAGCTTTAATCCCTAGTTACAAAAAATGAGAGGGCCTAATATTAAAAGTTGAAGCGAACTTAAGATACCACATGCACTTGGAAAAAAGAGTAGCGAAAATGGCATATGAGATTGTAAAGTTATACTTACAAAGTTTAGTGAAAAAGAGTACTTGTGGATTTTTTTATTTTGCTGAAAAACATTGCATACATATATTTATTTGTTAGGAAGAGAAAACTGGTAGAGAACCAAATCGAAGTGAACTTTTTATTGCATCAGGTTCTAGATCACATGGAAGTTTTATCTGTGACGAAGCAAGAATCTTTGTGGTCAGTTTTTTTTGTCTTTGTGAACACCACTGCATGTTTAAATATCATAAGTTCTTGAAAACAACAGTTTTCTTTCTTTCTTGTAAGTTTTTACGTTATATGATCATTTGTAGGATAAGCTGAAACAAGTAATGATTGAAGGTTCCATTCAAGGTGAAGCACATGATGCATCAGGTTCTAGATCAGATGGAAGTTTTATCTGTGACGAAGCAAGAATCTCTGTGGTCAGTTTTTTTTGTCTTTGTGAACACCACTGCATGTTTAGATATCATAAGTTCTTGAAAACAACAGTTTTCTTTCTTTCTTGTAAGTTTTTACGTTATATGATCATTTGTAGGATAAGCTGAAACAAGTAATGACTGAAGGTTCCATTTAAGGTGAAGCACATGATGCATATGAACAAGTGTTTGGTCCTGAGAATCTGGGAGGAGTTCGATGTGTAGGACGTGGCCCCACACCTTCCAAATATTTTTCAAATTTTGAAAGCACCTCGTGTACTGCTGAGATAGTACATTTGAAGACTCGGCTTAAAGATCTTGAAGAAAAACTATAAACCATGACTAATCTGGAAGGCACTTCCTCTACTGCTGAGATGATACATTTGAAGGCCCAACTGAAAGATTTTGAAGAGAAACTAAATATTGTGATTAATGCTGTTTGTAAACTTGTTGAGCAGTTCCAGGTTATTTCCTTGTGATCTTTGGTTCATTTGCATGTTAACATTGCACTGGCGTAATGATTTTGTTTTTACAGGTGAGTGCAAGATATAAGAACAAAAAGCTTAAAGCAAATCTTCATCAATCATCTAGTATCAACAGTGATCAGGTTACAAAAAATACTTAAACTTGTATATGTATCTTCTGCTTAATACTCAAACTTTGTACAGTAGAATCTATAAAACAATACTCGATAAAACAATAAACACTATAAGATAATATTTTTCTCCGGTCCCAACTCGGGCCAGTGTAAAAAATAGCATAATGCGATAAGATGATAAGACAATAATATTTTTGAAACTCCTATGTAAAAATATAGTCCCAACAATAAGCTAAGATAATAATTATAAAACTAATGCATATATATCTAAGACAATTTAGTAAAATATGACTCCAATGTAGTTTGTCTTTTCTGAAAATTGGATTCGTTGGAGCTCATCTCGAATTTTTCTTATTGCATCTACAATTTCTGGAGGTGTATTCTCAACATGCAGCCAAAAGTTGTGAAGAGTTCTCGAAGCCACAATTGCATCCTTACGTGTAACTACTTGCACATGTCCTTCCTCATCATCTTCAACTTCATCTTCACCATTAAGAACAGTAGACATAATTTCTTATAGACTTTGAACTTCTGAGCATGAAATATGTAAATAACAAAGTATAAGGAAAATTTGAATAAAAAATCTGAAAAAATATATTTCTATAAAGTTTCTTGTTTTTGATAGAATATTTCTATAAATAATAATTATTGTTTTATAGATAAAATAATAATTATTGTTTTATCGATAAAATAATAACTCTATAAGATAATAAAATTTCAAAGTCCCAACATTATTGTTTTATAGAGGTTTTACTGTATATGTATCTTGTGCTTAATACTCAAACTTAATACTTTTAGGGAAGTGACATTTCAAAGACTAGAATTTGAATTTGGATTGCTTATTCTCTTGAAACTGGTATGTTACTTTTCTTTTGTTTCTATATCTTAATCTCTGAATTTGCTTTAGGATAATGTTACAAAGAACAATAGCTCAACAGTTAGGTTATCTGATGAATTAGCTAGAGAGTTTTATGGACTAGAGAGTTTTGTTGATTACATAAACTGATGAATGAAGCATTGTTTGGTAGCTTTACGGTTTTGTTCACAATCAAAACACTTAGGTTATATTCTTTTTTTAATAAATATTGTTCTGTTCTGATTTTAAGTCAATTTGGTTGTGTTTGGTTGCTTATTTCAGGTCAAATTTCAGGACATGAAAATGTTTCTTCAAGAAGAATTGGTGAATACTTATACCAAATTTGTATGTACATCATACACAGAAAAGATATTGTATGTTCATGACAACTATTTGTTGACTCTTACTATATAAAATAGGTTTAGTTCATTTATGGGTTTCAGTTTGATTTTAAGTATAGAACAACTTTAACGTTATTTAACCTTCTTGAAAAATAATTTTACTTGAGTTGAATCTTTTGTTATAGAGAAGTAACCTTAAATTTAATGTGATGTTTTACTTAGTCATAAAGAAGTAACATAATTTAAGTAACATTAAAGTTAATGTGATTTTTTAAAGTAACTCCAGTTAGTATGTTTTTTAAAGTGACTCTAATAAAATTAACGTTATTGAATGTTAAATTACTTTAGCAAATGACTCCAAGTTATTAAAATCACTTTAAAAATGACGTTAAACCTGAAAAAAATAATATGAACTTCCGCAAAAACCAGTAGGCGCATATGGAAATGAGCAAGTGGCCCAGTGGTTGCACACCTCTGCATCTATCTCATCTGGAGTTCGACTCCACCTAACCCCATGTGGAATTAATTTCTTTATTGGGAGGATTATAGGTCCTTGGACCGGTCTATTATGGCTCACAAAAGATGACAAAAAAAAAAAAAAAAAAAAAAAAAAAAAAAAAACAAACCAGTAGGCGCATATCCTGTAATACAACAAAAGAGTTGTTACAATGTCGATCTTGGCAATCATCTTGTATGGGGAACTTTCTTTTTATTACGGTGGTCCTGGTCGAAATCCCAACTGTAAATGATTACGGCTTGTATTGCTGCTCCTATGCTATATAAAACCTTATATGCTCCCATCAGAATAGTAAACTATTACCGTCACGAGATAGTATATATTAACCAATACGAGTTTGAATTAGACAGTATATAGCATTAAGATATGAATTAGCACACCATTATAATTTGTTTATAAACCCATCCTTTAAAAACATTTCATGTGTATCAAGGTACCGAAAGTCTTTAAAAGAACCAACACAATAAACTTCTTTTTTTTATTATGTATTTTAGCATCCGTAGATGCCAACTTAATTATCAGCTAATAACTTAAAAATAGTCGCACAAAACACAATTAGACAACACCTATATTCAAATTTAAAATTGCCAAAACTACCATATAACCTTTATAGCCCAATGTCCAAACCACATAACCACTCTTTTTCTTTCTTAGTTTTTACTACATTCGCTGTTGTTAATGTTCTTGAAAAAACCCAATCCATAACAAAACCAAAGAGACAAGCGCCAAAACCCTTATAACAAACCAAGGCTCATTGCTAAATAAACATTCTCTTATTCTTTGGCATCCAAAAACCAGTGTTATCGAGAGCTATTCTTGAGATCAACGACAACCACACTTATATTGTCACTGCTTTGTCTACCCAAAGCCAACCGTGTAAGCAACGTTGCAGCCAATACACTCCTGGAAGGATTTTGTTCTGATGATGATCCTCCCCCTCCTCCGTTGTCGTCTTCTTGAGCCGTTCTGTTCAAATCAAGGCTCGAAGGAGTATCCTCACGTAGACAAAACCTAGCTATGTCGCAAGCTAGCTGACTCGAGAGCACGTCCCAAAGCCCATCGCTCGCTAATATTAAGCATTCATCTCCTGTTTCTCTTCTCATGAATGTTACTTCTGGTTCCCATGCTACTATTGGTTTTAAATACCTATCCCCTGCTCCATGAAATGTAACACAACTTTAGCAACAACTTGGACTACTGAGTATTTACTCATAACTTTCAAAATCATCATTTCAAAAGACGTAACCTCTTTTTTTACCTATGGCCCTTGACGTGGCTAGAATCCCTTCGACCCTAGCTCCGTCCACTACTAAAACCCGACCACCAGCTGCTTCGATCCTCGCTCGCTCGTCTGGTCTATCCGGCTGCACCAAAACCCAATTATGAGTCACAAAGCTCTGTTACGAGCCTAAAACAGAGTAACACTACTACTACTAAAAAACCACCTTATGATCATCACTCAAAGGAATAGCCATTCCACTTCGACACAACACCGCGCGTGAGTCACCAGTATTCGCTACGACTATATGCTCTTGCGTCAGAACCGCCGTCACCGCCGTGGAACCAGAAATCGCAGCTTCCCTCGGATCGCACTTGCACAGCGACACGGCGGTTCCGCAGACGCACGTGCTCGTCGCCAGCTCATCCATCCTCTCGAAACTCCGTTTCATCACTCCCCGCCATTTCCTCTCCACGACGTCGTCGTTTTCGTTTCCTTCTTCGGCTTCCTCCTCTGGTTGCTCCAGCTCCTCCTTCACTAACGTGTGCATCGTCGTGCTGCACAGTGTTGACACCTGTTTAACACGTCACTCTAGTTAAATGACCAAAGCACCCTTAATTAAATTATTATTGTTTCGGTTAGCATCGGAAATTTAAATGTTTAAATTTTTTTTACCTGAGAACCGCCATGGCCATCGTATACGGCGAAGAAATGAACCGGTTTTTGCCGGTTAATCTCCGGTCGAGATAAACTCGGTTTAACAGTAACCGTATCTTCCATCTTACGGGATCTTCCCATCACGGAAACGATTCCGTACATCGGCTCATTTTCCGTTTCTTCTACCTTCCGGTTTGGATTTTCAGATTTCCGGTGGGAAGAAGCCGGAGACGATAAGAAACCTCCGATATCTCCGGGAAGACCGCCGATCTCCGACCTCCGTGCCTGTTTCTTCAATGGAACGAAGTTTGAGAAAACCTCCTGGTCCGTCCGATCTCGATTCCTAGACGATGATGACGGGAAAGTGGGATCGCCGAAAACTGCCGCTTGCCTCCGCATCTCGATTCTCCGTCGACGGCGCTCACGGCATTTAGTCGGCGAAACGTCGTCTCTTCGTCCGGTGGAAATTGTTCTGTAAATTTCGGTCATCGAAGAAAATGTGATCTCGATTCTCGACGAAAGGACGATTCGTCTTCTGTTGATTACTGAGCACCGCTTTATATATACATGGGGACGCGAGAGAGAGAGAGAGTGAGAGAGACTCGACTTTGAAAATGAGAGCTTACGAGGAATTAGTGCACACGTGTCAGTTTTTAGATCCATTCGCGTGTTAGGCTCAGGTGTTAAGTTGTTGTCCACGTGGAGACGCCTTCGGTTTTCTTAAACGACATCTTGTTTTGAGTTTTATTTGATTTGATCTTTGATAGAACAATAGTAGTAGTAAACTACTAATTTAAGTAGTTTTTACTTATGAAATATTTTAGCAATTAACCAATTAAAACTAACAGTTTCTATACTTTTTTTTCGGTAATGATTAGTAAAATATCGTACATTCTTCCAAGACAAGGCAACAAAACCATGTAAAATAAGTATATAACACTTATTTGAAAAGTAGACATTTTTTAACGAGAATCAAACATTCAAACCCGTGACTTCAAGATTCAAAAGTTTTCGGTAACCAACAAGTTTAACCATTAGACCAACTCACTGTTGGTCATATACTTAACGTTTAATACAAAAGTAATGTAAGATTATCTTTTTCTTTCAATAAAAAAAGTTTTCTATGATTATTTAATGAATAAAATCAACAGAAAATATTTGTTATTGGTTAAAATGACATAACTTGTAAGTAATTAACTAATGAAATATAAAAATTTCTTTGAAATAATTAAAAATATGTATATTTAAATCGCTCACAATTCTTATTTTTCAAGTGTTTAGAATAAAATTCGCACTAATATCAATTACAAATCCTAACCATCGAAAAAAAAACTAAAATCCGGTAATTTTAATGATGTCAAAGGAAAATAGTACCTTTATCAACCGACTAAGCTGAGAAACAACGTACGTCAGGCATGCATGGATATATTATACTCGGGCCGAAGAACGAGAGAAAAACAACCCAATTTTTGGTTATCTTTCGTGTCTTGCAACTAACTTGAGACGAACGCAATGTTAATGAATCAACATGTAAAAGATCGACGAGTAAATATCATTTAACAAAAAATTATTACTGAAAACGAAATCATTGGATAAATCATAAAGTTGGAGATATCATCGGAGAAAGAAAAAAAAGTTGATGAACCCTCACTCACTCGTCACTCTGTTTCGGTGCTACACATGGTGAGATCATCTACAACTTCTCGATTCCTCAGGTTGTGCGACTTGTACCAAGCACACACGTGGCGTAGCCGCGTAGCTATGCCAGTTTAGTTCCATCAAGGCCATATTGCCTTTTATTCTTAATTGGTTTCCTTCAAAGGAAGAAAAACGGCGATATATATATTTTATTCTAACAGAATTTATTGATTTTTTAACCAAGTAATTTATAAGTACTTAAGATCAAAGGAATCATGTCATGATTTTTTTTATTACTCAATAGTTACGAGAAATGTCGTAAATATTCACAACTTCGTTAGAAATGCTGATTTTAAAGTGTGTTGCGGATCAATCCTAACATTTGTTATTTTAAGGCTAATTAATATGAGTCTAAGATATCAATAATTCACAAAACAGACTAGCCTTCTATTTTAATGTATGTATTCCCTCCGTTTTTATTAGTCGTCATTTGTATAAATGTATATGAAATGTATTAGAAGTATTTTGAGTTAAATACATCTGTATACATTTCTGCAAAGGACAATTAATTTGAAATCAAGGGAATTTAAGTTAACTGCCTAATTAATATGAGTTCAAGATCTCAATAATTCACAAAACACACTAGTCTTCTATTTTAAATTTTAATCTATGTATAAGTTAACTGCCTACACGATTAAATGTCCTTCTAAGAATTTGTTATTTAAAGATAAAAACTGTAAATGTTGTTTTAAGAAAAAATAAACATAGATCGTTAAAATTATTTGTCTAACTTGTTTAATGGAAGAGAGAAAAATATCCAAAAAAACTTAATATTCTTGATGCAAAAGTCTCGAATGCATTATACTCTCTATTCTAAAATATATGATTTTTTAGATTTTTTATTTGTTCCAAAATATATGATGTTTTAAACTATATTAAATGCATTTAATCTTTTAAAAGCAACAATTAATATTGGAAAGATAATTTTTGTATGATAAAAATTAAAATTTTTGAGTATTAAATTAAAAAGTAACAAAAAGTAAAGATAATTATTGTTTCTCAATAACTATGTACATCTTAGAACATCTTAAAATTATCTGGAATGGAGGAAGTATAGGTTAATTTAGTGATTAATTAGTAATATAACTTTTTTGGTTAGTAATATAATTGATGATTAGCTGGAATAGTTTTACTTATAGTGATGTACTTTTAGTTCTTAATGATGTAGGATTTGAATCTGGCCAAAAAGAGAAAAACAATCGGTTTATATGTTCTTCCATATACTTTACAGAAGCTATATATGTAAGTTCTGTATTTTTCTGATAAATCGTTTGTTTTTTTTTCATATGAAAGTCAACAATTTACATGCCTTAAACAGTACAATTTTACAAACGTATATTTAAACACACTAAATCTAGGAGGGGGAAATGAGAAACTTATCTGAAAAACATGTAATCCACGTGGTCGTATTGCAACTTTCTAAACTGCAACTCACCGTCCAACCCTAAGTGGAAACCAAGGGGCAATAGACTTACCGGTTTTTGCATCACACATCTCCTTGTTTCTCTTTTGTATTTTCTAAAAATAGAAGTTACTCGAAGCTCCCTTTAACTTTGTTTCCATCTTCACTATTCACTTACTCCAAACTTTGTCATATTTATTCTACGGCTTTTGCTTATAGGACAAATACGTAGATTGAGAATTTTGTCGTCTCTCAAAACAACCTCAATTTTTTGTGAACCAATTTTATGTCAAAGCATATCAATCGAGCATTCTAGCTGTAAACATTATCGTTTTCAAGCAATATAAATACCATTTATGAAGTTTGGTTTTTAAAAACTCATTTTGGGCGCTCTTTTAAGTATTATCTACTTTCCAATTTTTCTAAGTAATGCTTTTGTCATACTCTCTTAGAATATAGGTAAGTACATAGTTTGGAATTTGGATTCATGGTTTTTAACCGACTTTTTTTATCCACAAGAGTCAGTGTCTTGAAAGCACAACTTGGAACGAAACATGTACGGCGCCGGCATGACCATAAACTTAAAATTTTGCTGACAAAATATTACTTTCACTCTTAGCCTAAGTCAGTTTAATATTGTGATCTCTAGTAACTAGAGTAACTTTTATGAATTGACACTATCTTCTCTAATATTATTAGCGGTCAGGAAAAATGCACATTTTATTCCTGAACTATATGAAATTGAACGTTTTATTCTCCAACTTTTGAATGCACAAATAATTTCTGAAAATATTGTTTTCTATACTAAATCAGGTTTCAATTAGTCAATCATTAATATGAAAATGAATTTCGTTAAATTTGTAACATTATCTGTTGGGATTTTCAGTTCCAAACTCAAAATTTCCAAACTTAAAAACCTTAAGGGAATTTCCGGCTTTCTCCATATTTGTTTTGCAATTTTCAACCAATTTCGGAGTTTAAATTTTGAATTGATACAATTGCTAAAATATGTTTGAATTTGCTAAAAATCGTCGAAGTTTGCCCAAAATTCCCTTAAGGTTTTTTAAGTTTGGAAATTTTGAGTTTGGAACAGAAACTCCCGACGGATAATGTTACAAATTTAATGAAATCCATTTCCATGTTAATGGTTCACTAATTGAAACTCGATTTGGTAAAGTCAACAATACTTTCAGGAATTATTTGTGCAATCAAAAGTTGGAGAATAAAATGTTTAATTTCATATAGTTCAGGAATAAAATGTGCGTTTTCCCCTAGTTTTTACTCCCTTTGTTTCATATTAGTTGTTATTTTTATAAATATATTTGAATGTATTTAACTTAAAACACATCCAGATATATTTCATATACATTTCTAGAAACGACAATTAATATGAAATGGAGAAAGTATTATTTTTTTTCGAATTTAAAGATCAACTCCTAAATCTCAACTTAATAGTAAACCATTTGATCTTTTTAGATAAAAAGGAAAAAATAGTATTAAAATATAGGAACATTAGGTAAAAATAATTAAAAAAATATTAGTATTAAGTTATGGCATCACGAAAATCTTTTTTTTTTTATCAAAAAAAATCACGAAAATCTTTTCTTTTTTTCCAATTTTGTTGTTTTTTGTAAATTATATATATATATGTTATATTAACGTCAGCCCCAAGTTAGCGTTCTTGGGCCCATGAATCAACGACCCACCTCAAATTCTCAATGATGAAAAAGCCCATAAGTTTTGTTTAGTATTGCAAGAGTCAACTCTGACCCATCTCCTCCTCAACCTCGCCGCCGGAAAGTATCTTCTACGACGGACTAGTCCCCATCTTCGCCGTAGAAGTAGAACCCCGAAGATCCCTCGAATCTACAGGTGCGTTTCATAGTCAACTTGTCTATGATATTTCTACTATTTCGTCTTTGATTTTAACTTGGCCCAAGAACATGATCTAAATCTAATTGGTTTTGCATATAAGATTCATTGAGACTAAACAAGAAACCGATACGAAGTAAAAAGAACACAATTCGTTGCATTGATCTAGGGGTGTTTCAAAGAGCTCTCTCATTACATGAGAACATTTTTATTTAACGGAACTAAAACCATTAAGAATCGCTCAAACCTCACTCACAAGTGGTTTCTTGTTCTCTACATAGGAGGCAACCATGTGATTACAACCGGACTACGAACTCTATGCGTAGCGCTCTTCCACAAAAGACCACCAAACTCAGGCCTCTTCATCCTCAACTTGGTCCTGAAAGTAACACTATACGAAAGCTTCTCATGTTTCCTAGTAAAGTTGAGTGTTCTCGGCTGGACAGTAACAGACGCGCCTTTAAAAGGAGAGACAGAGACCCTGTAGCTCGAAACACGAGGACCAACATTGGTCACTGTTCTCTTAAGCGTCATAGCTTTAACACGTGTGTTCTCAGGGAACAAAGCAGAGATGGCCGGGTAATTCAAGTTTCCCGGGTTATTACCGAGACTGTTCTTGCAAGATCTGTTTGAACGCTTTGTGAACACCTTAAGCTGTGAAGGGCTTAGATCTTGAGTGCAGAGGAAGTCGAAATAGTCCTGAGGTCCAATGTCGTAGACCAAACCAGGATCCATGGCTTTCAGAGGATCTATATGTCCAGCTCCGTGATCATACGGAGACGAAGGAGTTGCTCCTGATGCATCTGAGAGAGGCTTATACGTGTTGTCATGTACGTAAGCTGTTGTCATGAGAGCTGATTTGATCGCTGAGGGACTCCAATCTGGATGTCTTGCTCTGATCAATGCAGCTACGCCGCTTACATGAGGACACGACATTGAAGTTCCCGATAAGATGTTGAACTTGACTCTCCTTGTGTCGGATGATAAACTCGACGGCGCCATGTCTCCGCTCCAAGCTGCGAGAATGTTCACTCCAGGAGCGAGCAAGTCAGGTTTCAAGATCTCTAGGGACAAGAAGTTGGGACCTCTTGAAGAGAACGCTGCTACAACAGGAGATGGTTTGATTCCGATTCTTGTTCCAAGAATCTCTAGAGTCGCTGTTGCTTTCTTGCTCGTCGACATTGCGTACTCTTTGATCAGCTTACCTTCTTTCTCTCCCACTGCAACTGTTGGAAGCAGATGAGAGTCTGCAACAAGCTCTTCGCCGTTTGTCGCCGTGTTGGTTAGTATCATCCCTATTCCTCCAGCTCTTTTCACAACCTGACCCTTTTGCACACGTGGAGTGACGCCTCGGTCGCAGATCACGATCTTTCCCGCTACATTGCGCCTGTCAAGAGCTCCGTCTAGACAGAACGATGTCGGATCAGGGCTGCTCGCGTTCCTTCCTAAGTAAACAAGAGGATACTGTTTGTTCTTGGACAAAACTGCTCTGCCTTTGTATAAAGACACTCCTTTAAAAGCTCTCATAGTTCCTATCTTCACTGTCGCTGGGAAGTCTCTGTCCATTGTGCTTGCACCAACCGTTGTGATCCATGGAGAAACATTCGTGAGGCTAACCGGATCAGGACCTCCGTTACCAGCAGAACACGAGACGAAAACTCCCATCTCCATGGCTCCGAACGTTGCTATAGCCAAACTGTCTCTTGAATAAGTTGAGATCCCACCACCTAGAGATATAGAGAGGACGTGGACTCCATCAGCAACGGCTTGATCAACAGCTGATAGTATGTCAGAGCTGAAACATCCTCCGACCCAACAGACTTTGTAAGCAGCGACTCTTGCCCTTGGAGCCATCCCTCGAGCTGTGCCATAAGCGAATCCTAAAAGATTTGCTCCTCTTACAGGTGAGCCAGCTACTGTGGCTGCAGTGTGTGTCCCGTGGCCGTCTTTGTCTCTCGGCGATCTGTATTCAAGCTCTTCGTCGATCTTCCCTGTTGCAGCTTCGTATCCTCTGTAGAAAGCTCTAGCGCCGACGATTTTCTTGTTGCAGTTGCGTTTCAAGAACCTTTTACCGGTTTCACAAGCTCCTCTCCAGGTGGAAGGAACAGGGGACATGCCTGTGTCGTTGAAGCTCTCGCTTTCAGGCCAGATCCCAGTGTCTAAAACACCAACCACCACATCATGGTCAGTGACTCTCTCAGACCAAACTCTCTCGCTCTCTTGTCTCTCTAAACCAAGAAAGGTTGGACTTCTTGTGGTGTGAAGCTCGTACCTTGTCTCAGGGATCACAGCTACAACGCCAGCTTCTTCCTCGAGCCTCTCTGCTTCTTGTTCTGTAAGCTGAGCAGCTAATCCGTGAAACGCGGTCTGGTAAGTGTAGAGTATTCTGTTACCTTCTTCTTCTTGTGATTTGGGATCTGTTACAGAGCTTATCTTGGAAGAGTACCATTGTAGGTGATTAGTGTAAGGTAAAGGCATGGCAGATTTATCCATATGGACAACGTAAGTCTTCCTCTGAGCGGTTTCTGCTTGGAGAAACATGAGATTGATGGATAAGATGATGAAAAGGAAGCATTTTTGTAGTGAGTTTTTGTCAGCCATTGTTGAGAAAGAAGAAGGTTTAAGGATATTTTATCTCTCTCTATCTCTCTTTGTAGGAGAAGAAGAGATAAAGAGTCAGTTGTTACTTTGGAGGAAGTAATAAAGGTGGAGGTAGAGAGGTGGTTTCATAGATGCTCTGTGAGCATAATTACTGAGAAAAAAGTGGTTGGTAATAGGCAGAGAGAGTCATCAATGAGAGCTCATGGCTTCTCTTTCTGCTACTTGTAATGGCATATGGTACCGTTAGGTTTTGGAATTTATGGCTCATCTGCTCGAAAATCGATTTTTTTTAATGCTTACTTAGTTAGTTTATTATTATGCTTTGGTTGAGTAGTTTTTACATGTTTTACCACCCTTTCTTATTAACTTGAGTAAACTTGAGGTTAATGTTAATATGAGTGTTAAAGATTACTTGCAAAGTTTTAAGCCAGTTCTTGGACTTTACGAGAATATATTCATTGAGTTATTATCTATTTTTTTCTTTTACATAGAAAACAAAATAAGTCACATCAAGCCTTTTGATTTTGCTTTGGTAGAGGTGAAGAGAGCGAATAAAAACAAGTATATGTATTCAAAATCATAGAAAAGTCATTTTAAGACAAAAGTTATGTAAGATTCTCTTTGGTAGAGACTGAATCATTCGTACCTCCTTTGTATACAAACGACGGTGGATCCGTGTTGCCGTATTGAAACTGTGAAAAAGCCCAAACTCGAATCATTATTACCAAGAAAAAAAAGCATGATGTGAAGATTAACAATATCTAAGAACACACCAATGATAAAATCTATAGAATATCATAAGTGTATAGTGATGCTATTTTTATTAGTCAAAAGTTTTGTTTGGTCCTCGTACTAAAAGCCACAATAATTTGTTGGCTTAATAGTCCTCTCTATCTCTCTCTCTTTCTATGGGAATTGAATTTACTGGGAATATCATTGATTCAGCTCAACGGTCTATTACAACATTTATAAAATACATTTAAACCTCAATGGCCCACTCTCTCTATCTCTAAAGATATGCCAAAAGAAGCAAGAAGTGGCTTCATCTTGATATTTCCGAAAAAAATTCAAATCGATTCGTTAAATTGATAGATATGTATCCTGAAAATATTCAATATCAGTAAATTCGAACATAGACTTGTATGATCCCACCACCACCACCTCATTTATATATTTGATCAAAATATCCAATTTATATGTCTGGGAATCATTCTTATGATACGAAATAGCGATAGTAACGTACTAACACACATAGCATGGCAAGATGATAAATAACACATCCAAAAAGTTGATGTTGTTCATTATAACACTTATTAATTTCTTTTGTTTAGAATTACCATTTTTAGACCAAAAAAATGTTACGTTTTCAACAATACAACTTTTTATACTGTAGAATTCTCATAGTATTGTCAAATTTACAATTGTTTTTAAAACCTTAAGGTAATTCTATAAATAACAATTTGATCAAAAACATTACAATATCAATAATGGGTCTGGATTATAGATAAATTGAGCCCATTCTTCTTCTTCTATGAAAAACATAAAAGGAATGTGGAGAGTCAATTTTGTACAGACTCAAGACGAACAAGATGAGAATGAGAAAGGAGGGAGCTAAAGAAAGCCTTCAACGCCAGGACGACCTGATTGGACTTCTCTGTAGATCATTAGTGCTTCTTCCATCACATTGGCTTGAGCCAAAAGCTGTGATCTCTTCTTTCCCGAGGGATGCGTAGATAAATATTCCCCAAGCGCCACGTCTCCTCCAAGCTTTCCCAGCTTCTCATACACTTTGGGAGCTACTCTTGGGTCATATCCTGCTGATGCAAGCAATAGCAAACCGATGTAGTCTGCTTCTATCTCCATCCTGTCATGTAACACACACACAAGTATCCATCACAACTTGTTTTTCTTCCACACAAACTTCCATTTTCTTCTTCGTTCCAGAAAGAATGTGAGAAATGAACCCACATACCTTTCTTGTTCACTTTTCCTACCATACCTAACTAGTAACTATACCAACAGCTTCTGATGGTTCACTAGGTGATTACTTCACAAATTATCAAGATCTTTGAACTTTTGTTTCTCAACAATTGCAAAAGATTTTGAAATCTAAGTGTACCTTAAAAACAGAAGAGCTTATTGTATTAAAAGCAAAGAAAAAATGGTGATAGGAAGAGAGGAAGAAGACGTACTTTCTGGAGAAGGGAAGCCTCAAGAAAAGAGCGGACATGGTGTTCACAAGATCTGGCATGACAAACTGATAAAGCACCAGCTGAAGTATAGCCAGCCATAAGTTCTTTGTTATTCCTTCCGCTACATGTCGTGCCACCGCATGACCAACCTAATCCAAATAACATAACAATCAGAAAGAAGAAAAAACTCAGCTTTGGCTCCAAAAGCAAGCAGCATCACAGAAACATCAAAGGTTTATGTTACCTCATGACCAATGACAGTAGCAACTTCAGCATCAGACTTGAAATGGTTAAGCAACCCAGTGAAGACCACAATCTTCCCAGCGGGCAAGCAAAAGGCGTTAACCATAGGGTCGTTGACCACAATCACCTCCCAGTTTATCCCTTCCAGGTGAGAGCTCGCTGCCTGCGTATCTTTCTTCCTACTCTGTTGAATCCATTTGTCATCAAGAATCTCATCATCTTTAGACCATTTCATTCCACTCATCGTCTCTTCACCACCATCACCACTCAGAGCCATTTCCACCTCCTTCACACCCGTATCACTACCTCTCATAGTACTATCCATTGAAGCATAACCTAACTCACCCCACGCACGCTCGTGGCTTAACCCTCTCTGCAACGAATCGATCACCTCTTTAGCTATCAATCTAACTCTAATGCTCTCGGGATGAATCGCAGGGAGGACTTTCCCTTTGTAAGTTTTCTTTATCTGCTCGAATTGGGTTTCCCCTATTCGCTTCTCCATGGATTTCGACAGGAGAACGAAATGCGTTCGCTTTGTGTACGGAACCGTCTCTAAGTTCCCGAAATACAGAGTGAGCAGAGCTCCGGAACCGATCAGCACCACCGTCAACACCGTCCTTGGGTTTTGGGTCCACCGTCTGGGTCCGCGCGGCTTGAAATGACTTACCTGGTAACGATCGACGTAGTAATTTCTCTTGGCTTGGCTCAGAAACGGATTGTTCGTTTTCCCAAATGATCCTAAACCTAGTTCGCGCGAAGCAATTGAGGAGAAGCCAGAAAACTTAGCTGCGGGGTGAGAAGACACTGATGGATTGATTCTCGAGGGAACATGAAATCGATGAATTACCTTCGGGTTTATATTACGTCGCAGGGAATCGAAAACGAGTTTGGCTCTTCTGTACATTGCTGGAAACGGAGCAATGGAAATTTTTCGAGAGAAACGGGAAGATTGGTGGAGAAATTTCCAGCGAGAAGATTATATACTGGGAGAGGGAGATCCGGCGAAGATTCGAGAAAGAAGAAGAAGAAGAAAGAGAAATAAAAGTTGGAAACTTGAGCTGTCGTCGTCACAGGTGAAGACGCCGCCGAGAAACGGAAACGGTTCAATTTGCAAAGTAACCGGAACAGATCGGATCAAGCACTGGATTTTTGTTTAACCAGCCGGTTTTGAGGGTCTATTCATTAAACCTATACTTGTGTGGGTTGACTACGACTACATAAACTTTGTTTTTTGGGTATGAAAATGTTAAGAACAAAAAAAAAAGTTTGTTTCGACAAGCAACTATTTATTTACTCAATGAAATATACTGAAATTGACAACATGGAAAAATAGGTATCTATATATATAAAGTTGATGCGCTTCAATCAAGCGCTTCTTGCCAAACAAGCTTGGAGGGTGTTACATTTCCCTAACTGCTTACTTTCAAGATTGTTAAAGAGCAGGTACTTCCCTAAAGGAGATTTCTTGGAAGCAGGCCTAGGTAATTGACCCTCTTTTGGTTGTAGAAGTGTTTCCTTTGGGAAAGATTTGTTGAGCGAAGGTCTTGAGAAACGTGTGGGCAATGGAGCGTCCATAAAGGTATAGTGTGAGCTGTGGATTGAAGACAATGGGTTGCGGATGCCTCTGATGAAAACCCGACTGTAAATATTGATCTCCTGATGAAGGATTTAATAGATATGGAGAGTAGGAGGTGGAACAGAGCTATTTTGGATGAGTTGTTCTATCCAGAGGATGTTCAAAGAATTCTGGCTCACCAATCAGTTACGACAAAAGAGGATTTTTTCGTTTGGAAGGCAAATAAAAACGGGTTTTATTCTGTTAAATCTGGTTATTGGCTGGCATGTCAACTTACTCAATAAAGGGGAGATCCTGGCTCAAGCGGCTATGGAACCTTCTCTAAATCCTCTAAGACAGCAAATTTGGGAATTGAAGATAGACCCAAGGATTCAAGCTTTCTTGTGGAAAATGCTTTGCCGAGCTATTCCTGTAGCTGAAAGATTGGTCACTAGAGGTAGCCCTGGGCACGGAGCGGATATCCGGAAATTATCCGTGATCCGTGATCCGATCCGTCTGATCTGGATAACTGATTTTCCGATCCGATCCGATCCGAAGATTTTCGGATACCCGAAAATCCGGATATCCGTAAAAACAATAAATATGGGCTGTGTTAACAAGGTTTTATATAAACCTAGTATGAAAATGTAATGAATTTGGGCTGTGTTGGGTATATTTAAACAATATACTTGTAAAATTTTGAAGACTTAAAAAAAAAAAAAAAAAGTTCTTTTAGGTTAAAACATTCTAAACTCAGCCATAGTATGGTCATGACTGATATATAAAAATACTTTGGTTATCTACTCCTGATTTTGTTTTCGACCTCTGGTAAATTATCTACCAGAAATACAGTAATACAGTAATAAACGCGTTCCTCCTCGTCGAGTTTATCGGTGTACAATGTTTTCGTTATATATACTTGTAATTATGACATCAACGTTATCTCCTGCAAACTCTTACAAAAGGTCCTAACAATTTGCAAAAAGTTTCGACAAGCCATTCTCTTTTCATAGAAGAAGAAACTCGTGTTGTACAAAATACCAAACTCTTTCTGCTGCAAAAGGATAAAATTACATCTTCTAATTCTTTCCTAATCTTCCTCAAACCTCTAACAACTTGCCAAAAGAATAATATATATCGATTAAACCTCAAGATCACCTCGATGATTCAGCAAGGCGTCTGATCCGTTCCATGACCACAGGAATATCTTCATCGGCTAAAGCCGTAAAACAACACCTGAACCAACCCGGTTCAATACAATAACAAGCCGTTCCTGGAGTCGCATTGATCTTCGCAACACTCAGTAGCTTCTCAAACAAGTCCACTTCTCCTTTCTCGCTGTAACACGTCAACAAACTCCTCATATCAACCCAACAATACAACCCGCCGCAACTCTCAGCACACGGAATCCCTAGTCCTCTCAAACCTTCCACGAACCGAGCATGCTTATCTCTGATCCTTCCCCTGTGCGCCGCCATGTACTCCTCGATGAATCTTGCATCCGATAGCAGAGAGATAAGTATCCTCTGCACCGGAACCGGCACAGACGAGAATCTCATCAGCTTCTTCGCTGCGTTCACCACGTCCTCGTGAAAAGAATAGATGACTCCAGCTCTAAAACCTGGAATCGAAAGGTCTTTCGACAAGCCGTAGATTACATGAACCCTACTCTTATCGAACTCCCCGGAGCTAGCGACCTCCGCCATGCTGACAAACGCTTTGTCTCCGTATACAGAGCCGGCGAATATTTCGTCAGAGATGACGTGTAAGTTCTTCTCCTGAGCAAACCTCAGAATATCATTAAGCGTCTCTCTTGACACTATGTTTCCAACAGGATTCGACGGGTTCGAAAAGAGGATCCCAGAGACCTTGAACCCTCGTTTCCTAGCTTGATTCAAAGCTTGCTCCAACGCAGAAACCGTCACAGTGAAGTTATCAGAGCTGCGGCAGTGCACTGGTATAAGCTCCACTCCTGTCCTGAACTTAATATCTCTGTCAAAGCTGCAAAATTCCAATTTCCTCAGCCATATTACATTTACATTGATAGAGAAAAAAAACTGATGGATGATGAATCAAAGATAAAAAAAAAACTTACCCTGGATAATACGGCGACGGAATCAGAAGAGCATTTCCATGATCTGCCAAGCAGAAGGCTAATACTTCGATAGCAGGAGTCCCACCGGCTGTTATAACCATGTTTGCAGGGTCAAATGTCACATTCCCTCCCATTATTCGTGACATGAAACCAGCAAAAGCCTAGCAACAATGAGGAATAGAGAAAGAAATTTGATTAACCTTCAAGCAAAGCTAAACAACTAAATTCACAAGTTTGAAGTGTTTCTACAACTATAAACGATATATCTTTGTTTCCCAGGCAGGAACAGATACCAATCAAACCAATTTCATCGCATTTTTTGCAGTCCAAGCTTCGCCATAGACGTAGAAATGCACCAAGAGTGTATACACTTACCACTCTCAGTTCCAGCAATCCTTCAAAAGGTTGATACATGGCGATACTACTGATATCGAATTCACCATTACCATCAGACTGCATCATCATCGACTCCATCAAATTCTCAGACATCCATCTCTGGAGCAAGTCAAAGCATAGCTAGAATACAAATTTCGCAAAAAAAAAAAAAAAAAAAAAAAGCAAATCAATTTCTCATGGAACAGATGAAAAATCATCATCGGAAATTTTTACAGAAACTCACCGTACTCTCAGCCAAACCAAGCTGGATAATCCCTTCCTTGTTACTTATCCGATCGTAGGGATCCGTCTTGACTCTCTCCAACCCAATGTAATAAGTCGAATCGGTAGGCTTCGCCACAGGAACCGCTCGAGCGGAGATTCGAACGCGTCCCATCGAGCTCCCGCGGGAGAAGAGGTTAGACAGCGACGATGTCCTCGGTAACTCCCCCAGGTGGGAATCGGAAGGAGGAGGGTCCGGAGGAGAACGTCGTTTCAGGTAAAGCTGGAGAAAGTAGAAGAGACAACAAGGAATTAGGGAGCCGACGAAAAGACCTCCGCGGCCTTGAACTACTCCGCGGAGTGGTACTATCAGCCTCATCGGGAAGAACTTGTCCGCTCCGTCGCGAGATACAGTTGTGTTTGCTCGCTCTCCGGCGTGAAGAGATTCGAGCCGTTCGTTGAGAGTAACAACGAATTAGGAAAAAGAAAAGATGACGTGTTGAAAGTAAGTTGCGCATAATTTACAAATATTTGCTAATTAGCCCTTTAATATTAATGAAACTTATTGAAAATATCCTTATGTTTTCAAAGTCCATTTTCACACCCCCAAGAAGCAAAACTTCGTAAAAAGAAAAGGGAAAAACCCCAAAAAATACCTGAACTTATTTATTTTTGGAAGCAAAATACACAGATTTTTTTGAGTCTCCAAATAATACACAAACTATTTATAAGTTCATATTTAATACACAAAGTAATAAATCTGATTAGTTTTACACATCATTTCTGTATAATTATTTTAAAATACGGTTTTACCCTTTAAAAATCATTTTTATTTGTTAAAACAAAAATAATTATAGAAAAAAAATCAATTGAAAAGTTCCATATGCTGTATTTTGTTCTTTCCCGTCCAATTTCAGAAGTCAAAAGCAGGAGAATTAAAGGATTGTGTTTGTTATTCCATTCCAGATCTGATAATACATTGAATCTAAAGCTCCACAGATGGAAAAATAGCACGAAAGAGGTAGGAGACATAGTGGAGTTGTGGAGATTTCTCGGACGAAATTGGGGGTCATGACTCAAGACGGTAGTTGCAGAGGTTCACGTGGTGAGATGGAGGTGGAATTGAAATCTGGAGAAAGAGAAGAAGTCACTATAGATGAAGGTGGAATTAAAATTTGGAGAAGAAGTCACCATGAATTCTCGTTCAGTTATTTGAATTTTAATTTGATTTTTTTTTCTATAATTATTTTTATTTTAACAAATAAAAATGATTTTTAAAGGGTAAAACCGTGTTTTAAAATAATTATACAGAAATGATGTGTAAAACTAATCAGATTTATTACTTTGTGTATTAAATATGAACTTATAAATAGTTTGTGTATTATTTGGAGACTCAGAAAAATCTGTGTATTTTTCTTCCAAAAATAAATAAGTTCAGGTATTTTTTGGGGTTTTTTCCAAAAGAAAATTTGAAAGTACCGTACAGATGACGTGGCGCACGTCTCATACACACACTTTTACGAAGATGTAGTTTAGTAGCGAGAGCGTGACGGCCACAAGCTCTCTGTCTCTTTACATTTCACATATCTTCTTTTCACAAAACCTCTGTTTCACTAAATCACTGATAGAGAGAAATAAGAGAGTCTCCAATGGCTATGAGCATGAGCACGTTCGGCGCGGGGATATGTTACACCGGGAAGCTTCCGGTGAGGCGAGTCACTGGAGAAACGGGGAGGAAGCAGCAGAGAGTTGGAATGGTAAGAGCAGAAGGAGGCGGAGGAGGGATCAATCGGGAGATCAGAAAGAACGAGGAAAAAGTGGTTGACTCCGTCGTCGTCACCGAGCTTTCCAAAAACATAACTCCCTATTGCAGGTTTCTCATTTTCCTCAAAACAAAAATAAGACCATAGCTCCTCTTATAAATTCGCACAGTTTCATATTTATAATTTTATATCATCATCATTCAAGTTTTGTGCTAATAAATTTTTATTATACTAATCCATATGCTTTACTAAGGCCTTCTTTTCAAATTGCGGTGATTTTGATTTTTCAACATTTGTTTACTTTATCAAAAAAAATTCTTTTGATTTTTCAACATTTTTGAATAATATATTGACGACCAAAAAGTGTGATCGATCTATAGTTACATACATTCAAAGTTAAAACCGAACATGATATATTGCCCCAAATCACACCAATTACAAATATTGCGTTTACTACATAAATTACGATTTAACATATTTAAACTGTATTTTATTTTATCTTAATCTTAAAATGTATGTCTGTCTCATAGTAATTTCATAAAAAAAAAAATCAAACGCGTGATCCGATAGCTGACTCAAATCCTTAAAATACAAAACGTGAGGACAATTTTTAAGATTTCGGATTAGCTATATCTTTTTGGGTGACTTTGCTGATTAGGTTTTACAATTTGTGATTGATGTTATTTTAGGTGTTGGAGATCGGGAACATTTCCACTGTGTGATGGGAGTCATGTGAAGCACAATAAAGCTACTGGAGATAACGTTGGCCCTCTCCTTCTCAAGAAACAGTAGTTGTTTTGGCACTAGTTAATTTCTCTTCATTAATATTGAGTGATGTATTAATATTCTCTCGTCCAAATATATCATCTATAATTGGATCATGTGAAAGAAAGCGAAGGTTAAAGTTTTTCTGTCTACGTGAACTTGCCTTTATCTCGATATAAAATATATAGTTTGCTGTCGCTCACTGTACTCGACAATATTTCCAACAATTTACATGAATCAGAAATTATCTGAAACTTTTAGGTGAATCGGAAATTTTAGGGAGAAATTGAATGAGTAGTAAGAAAAAGGCAAAAGTTTTAGCTAATGAGTTCATCCAAAGATGAGATAGGAAATTTTTTTTTAGCAATTGTTCGATCTTCTAAGCTATAAGTATTTATGGTTTCACTGTAAAATTTATGGACATTGACCAAACGTTGTCAACTAATTTCAAAAACTTTTAGTCAAAAACTTTTACATGTTACACATTTATAACTACATCCGAAATAATTTAACAAGTTCAAAGACTATCAAATTTACTCTCACATTTTTGACATCCTAATTTCTTGTGTTGTGTTGTGTGGATGCATCATAATTCTCCGTAGCATCTTCACGATTTTTGGTTTAGTTTCCGAATATTATTTTTTTCTTTTGTAAAAAGGGCTAAATCCGAATATTATTGATACATAGTTATTCTTTGTATACTAATAATCTAACATTCTTTCAAATGTTTGCAATCAAAATCATGACAGGGGTTATGTTTGAACTTAACACTCATGATATTTTTGAGAAAATTTGGACCAATATTACACAAATTAAAAATAATTTGAAAACTAACCCCTCTTTTAGAATGTTTGAAAACTAATCTTTTAAATATTTGAAATTACCAAAATACCCTCAATTTTTTCAGACAAAAAAATTATTTAAAATTATTTAAATTTATTTAAAAATTTCCCCGTAAAATTAATTTTATTTCTATTGGAAAAAAATTAGTTATTTTAAAGATAATAATGTTTATTGTAATTAAAAAAAAGGAAAAATAAACTTTTATCTCTCATATTCCTAATTGGTGTCACATAATTTAAAAAAAAAAATTGAAAAGAAAATTTTCAAAAATTAAAAAGGATATTATGAAAATCTAATTTGAAATTTAAAAGATTAGGTAAATAAATATTATGTGTTTAAATTTAAAATATCTCATAAGCTTTATAGAGAATGAAACCTTAGTCAATTCTTTGTTACAAAATGGTGCTGATTTCTAGAGTTTATGGAGATTGGGTGATTCAAAATAAATCATGGAATTTTGTGATGAATTACAAGAAAAGAGATAAATTATTTCAAATCAAATATGAAAATGATTGATAATGTTGTTTCTGATATAAAATAAATTTAAGATATCTAAAATTTAGATATATGTTATTTTTAAAAAGGTTTTTTTTTGCTTAGCATATTAGCATATTGTAGAATATATTTGAGATGGACAATTGAAGATAATATAATGTAGATAAGATAGGACTTGATATATACATTTGGAGTGATGGAAGGTATAACCAAAAGACAGGAAAAAGTATTAGTGGAGGATGGTTCGTTTGATGTGTGTTCGGAAGAGAGGCTGGATAGAGTGTTTTATAGTGTCTCAAATCAATAATTCAGTCAAAAAAAAAAAGAATTGAGTAACTAACTTGGGATACAGCACATGCGTACTATATATGGTATAATATCGATTTTGTAAGTAAAAATTTGTGTTTTCGAATATGAAGCATATTCCTATAAATTTTCATAACTACTTTTGTTTTTTGTCTTCTTTCCCAAAAAAGAAAGAGGAAATTTGGACCAATATTACACAAATTAAAAATAATTTGAAAGCTAACCCCTCTTTTAAAATATTTGAAAACTAATCTTTTAAATATTTGAAATTATCAAAATACCCTCAATTTTTACAGACATAAAAAATCATTTAAATTTGTTTATTCATTTATTTAAAAATTTCGGAAAATTAGGTTTATTTCTATCGGAAACAAAAATCAGTTATTTAAAGATAATAATGTTTATTGTAATTAACAAAAAAAAAACTTTTATCTCTCATATTCCCAATTGGTGTCACATAATTAAAAAAATATATTCTTAAAGAGAAATTTTTCAAAAATAAAAAAGGATATTATGAAGATCTAATTTGAAATTTAAACTATTAGATAAATAAATATTATGTGTTTAAATTTAAAATATCTCATAAGCTTTTTAGAGAATGAAACCTTAGTCAATTCTTTGTTACAAAATGGTGCAGATTTTTGGAGTTTATGGAGATAGAGTGATTCAAAATGAATCATGGAATTTTGTGATGAATTACACGCAAAGAGATAAATTATTTCAAATCAGATATGAAAATGACTGATAATGTTGTTTCTGATATATAAGAAATTTAAGATATCTAAAATATATATATATTTATATAATATATATATATATGGTTTTTTTTTTGCTTAGCCTATTGTAGAATATATTTGAGATGAATAATTGAAGATAATATGATGTAGATAAGATAGGACTGAGATAGGTATATACATTTGGAGTGATGGAAGGTATAACCAAAAGACAGGAAAAAGTATTAGTGGAGTATGGTTCGTTTGATGTGTGTTCGGAAGAGAGACTGGATAGAGTGTTTTATAGTGTCTCAAAAATATATCTAAGTATAAATTTCTGTTGTTCAACCTCTTATTTCCTTTGTTTATCTCTATGTTTTCTTCTTTTTTTTTTTTGGTTATCTCTATGTTTCTTTTTTCAAATTACATTTTACATGATCTACTATATAATTTTTTTTACAAATTAAGTTCTTTTGATTCAAATCAAAACATAATACATATACTTTCAATTTATATATTCACATCTCAACCTATGTGGAAAGATTACAATAATATTTTTTTAAATCTATATATGTCATGTTTAAATTATGATTTGTTTGACCGAATACTAAAATCCACCTAAAAGTGTACTAAAATAAGTAAATGCCATTTAACAGTTAAACATAATAGGTTATTGTTTATATTAAACTTAAATGTCGAAAGAAAATGTTTGATTGATGCTTTTTCAAAATAAATGATTTTTTTCATGGAATCATATGGATAACTCATTCCATTCATTAGAAATATATAATGTCAAAATACAAATTTTGTGCAGTTATGTGTTAAAGGTCAATGAAAAATGTTCATGAATGCAATTCTAATTCCAGGAATGAATAAGATTTTGGTTATATGGTTGAATACTCACCTCATTTGACGTGTGACATCCATAATTTTAATGTGTGTTATTTCTATAAAGGAAAATCATATTTATTTGTCCGTATGTGTGTTTGCAAATCTCATTAGAGTTTACATTAGAAAAATAATCTAGTTTGTTTTAGCTTGGAAAATCATTCCATTTGTTGTTTTATCTATAGGAACATATTACTCATATTTCATTTGAAAATTATAAAAGTTTTGTGATTTTGGAGTTGGAAGATGACATATATACTACATAGAAACAAATTGATAACAAAAGTTAGTGTAGTGTGTTCACATATTCCTAAATAAATAAATTTAAACATACGAAAAACACAATGCATATATATTTTTACAAATAATATATAGGTATATATATATTCCTAAATAATATAACTTGGTTTTTACAAATACTTTGGAGTTGACACTTTTTCTCCAAAAGGTGTTGAAAATGTTATGGGCCGAAAAGCAAAAAGCCCTGAGAAACCGGGCTAATCCGTTGACAACCCGACCCGGATTATGAACCCGAAAATCGTCAATTTTGTTGTTTGTTCGTTTGTTTTAACTTTTAACCCTAAGCCGAAAGATCCTTTTTCGCAGGTCGAAGTTGGAAGATCTTAAGATCTGCAGATATGGCGGACGAAGCAACAAGAAGTGTAAGCACTTCTCTTTCTCTCTATATCTAAAACTCCATTAGGTCCGCTCAATTTCTTGCGATTTATAGTGTTAATGGAGGATTCGAAATTGTTAAAATCATAATAAGGCTCCGTATGTGATTCCTAATTTTGTATACGTTACAGGCTTTTCTAGAGATTCAAGCCAGCATGATTGAGCTCACCGGAAAGTTGAAGCAGGTAAATCATTTTCCTACAATTTTGGATGAACATTTGGGTAAAATTATAATCAAACGTGACTAGAAATGTTAAAAGTGTTTGCTTCGATATTGTTACTTTCTTTGAGCCTGTGCTTTAGTTTCAAATCACCTCTGACTTGTGAATTTGTTTGAATAGGAGGATTCAGTGTAGTATAAATAATCATAATTCAGTCTTAGGTTTGTTATAAGCAATGATTCAGAGTCAAATAAGACTCTAAAAGCTCTTGTTTGCTTATGATTTGTGTGAAAATAATCAATGATGATTCACAGTTTTTCGACCAAAAGCTGTGTAAAAGCTTATTAGCTCTTATGTAGGATAAAATAAGAAAGATGTCACTGTAATAGTTGTAATTTGGTTTTCACTAGACACCAAGAACTGTCATATACTCATATGATAATCAAGTGTGTGTATATACGGCTTTATAGGTGCAGAATCAGATGCGCAACAAAGAGGGAGATAGGAAACGTGCTTACTTAACCTTGGAGGAGCTACGGCCATTGCCTGAAGATACAAACACCTACAAGTCAATAGGCAAATTGCGATTCCCCTTTCTCTTGTTTCATGATGATTCTTGTGTTTTTTTTTTTCCGTTTCATTGCGTCTAACTTGTGTTTTGGTATTGTTTTCAGGAAGAACGTGAGTGGTTTAGTAGTCCTGGACCTCTCCAAGTAAATGGCATTGGGAGAATTTGTGAAGGCTGATTCTAGTTTTTGTTTTTTGGCTTCATGTAGGTTTGTTCTGGAGCCCAAGAAGGTACTAGAGGGTGAACAAGAGCAGAAACTCAAGGACAGTGAGGCTGCAATTGCGTCTCTTCAGGTACTTTCTTTCATTCCAATAATATTTTTAGGATTGCTTAAAAAAGAATAGGAGAGCATTGAATGATATGGTGATTTTGCCAGCCATCAAAGGAATACTTGGAGAAGCAGATTGCAGAGGTTGAGAACAACTTCAAGGAGCTGTTGCAGCAAGAACCATCCATTGTTCAACAAGTAGTGTCTATGTCTGTGTAACTTTTGTATTTTAATCCCCAACCCATTTGAACAAAACTGAGTTTGGTTCTTGCTTTTATCAGAGATTCTTGTATTAAATCCATATATGATGATCATCTTAAAGTTCTTTTTATCTGATCAGAAGCATTTAAAACTCTCTCTAGTGTTGACAAAGATTGTTTCTTCAATAATAGTGTGTGATTGATATCATTCCAAACTCTAACAAACCGCACCTGATCACACTCTTTCTCCGCCGGAGTTCATAAAGATTACATAAGATAAATTTGAACTTGATAACTCAAATCAATCCTATGTTTTGTTAACACGTGCATTGCATCACAATTTAGAGGGTAAAAAACACGGACATCAAAAATCATAAACATTTATCGTTCAGGTGTCATGTACTTCATTACACTAATTTTTTTGTTATTAGTTAGATAAATTAATATATACAAGAAGGCAAGGGATTCATAATTTAAGATATAGATGCATTTTGGAATAAAACATAGGATTTAAATTTCAAAACCTCTTCATGCACCATCAAATTTAAAAGGCCTTAAAAATAATTTACTCTGATGAGTTAACTTTTCAATGCAATTGTTTCAGTTTTTTTATAAATAATAGATAAAATACATAATAAGAAAGCTTTAAGAATGGAGATTTATACATTTGAATTCCTAAAATTTGTATGTTATGTACTTCTTTATGTAAAATAATCACATCTTCAACAACAATTATTGAACCATCACTTCTCAAGTTCTGGAGTTGTCATGTCTAGTACATCAAACCTTACATGGTTCGCCATGAGAATAAATTAAACTTGTTTTCCCAGTCCATGATGAACTATACAACAAATATATTTTTCTCCAAACTTTCACGATATTTTGCTACTAAGAACATAATTAATAAAATGAATAAAAAGAAATTGAATGAAATATAACATGGAATGCAAAAAAATAAAATAAGTATCCCACAACGAATGATTTTACAAAGAAATTGCTTTCTTCCCATCCCATTTATTCAGAGAAAAGTTTGATGAGTGCTTTTTCATAACTTGTGTGTTTTTCTTGTGCAGTTATGTGTTGAAAGTGAATGAAAAATGTTCATGAATGCATTTCTATTTTTAGGAATGAAGAACATCTTGGTTATATGGTTGAATATTCACCTCTTTTGAGCGTGTGACGTCCATAATTTTAATGTGTGTGTTATTTCTATAAGAAAATCATATTTATTTGTTGGAGCGAGTATGTGTATTTGTAAATCTCATTAAAGTTTACATCAGAAAAAAAAAATCTAGTTTGTTTTAGCTCGGAAAATCATTTCATTTGTTGTTTTATTTATAGGAACATATTACTCATGATTCATTTGAAAATTATAAAAGTTGAGTGATTTTGGAGTTGGATAATGACATATGTGTTGCATAGAAACAAATTGATAGCAAAAGGTAGTGTTTTTCACATATTCCTAAATCAAATAAATTTAAACACAATTATGCATATGATTTTTTTATAGGTATATAACACATGATTTGGAAGGATGTTCATGTTAAAGATATAAGAATAAAATCCGATAAAAAACCTACAGATTTACGAATATTAATCTTTCTTAGGATTTGTAAATCAAGATTAATATACATAAACCAATAACACCTTCTCAAGTAGTAGCTCACCCCTTATACAAACAGTTTGGTTTAGCACTATAATATGAATCATAACCTTCTTCGAATTATTTGAAAGAAAGCACATATACACTGTATTTTGATAAGAGATCGGTCGTCTTTTAATTCAACATATAGTGTCTATGTCTATGTAACTTTTGTAATTAATCCCAATCCATTTGAACAAAAACTGAGTTTGGTTCTGCTTTATCAGAGATTCTGGTATTAAATCCATATATGATGATGATCTTCTTACAGTTTTTTTATCTGATCTGAAGCATTCCAAACTCTCTCTGCTGCTGACAGATTATACTTAACCAATTCAATATTGTGAAGAAGGTAAACAAATCTTATGGTTTCACTAACCAAGTTATAGAATTTATTGTGTTCCAGGTAGAGATATTTACACTCTTAGACACTCTCTCATTCTCACTTTCAAATTATAAGAAAAGGCACTTGCGACTCTAAGTGCACTTTCAGCATAATGAATGACTATAATATCCTTACTCACAATTCTAGAGTAATACACTCTTCCAGGTATGTAACCATCCGTGACTGTTTTTCAGAGATATGGATTCAATGTAATAATAGTAAAAACTCGAGTAATGATGTTCTGTTTAAAAAAACAGACTTGGCTGACAAATCAAAAAAAGCATTGGAACAATAAATGACCAAAGAGATACACATACACACATCAAACCCAAACAAATACATTTCTCATTCATGTACACTGATTTTACATTACCTCTCAAAGAAATCCTAAGCAATCCCGTTCATAATCTCGGCTTCAAACGTCTAAAATCCGTACCCAAAAAAACAATAATCCAAATTTAAGATTGATTGACGTAAAGAACAGGTACAAGTCCAGCCATCTTCCCGTCTCGTCCAGGCCGCTTCTTCTTTACCTGTTATAGTGATCCCAAGTTAGGTTTAGGTTTTAAAAAAAAAAATCACTCCTAAAATACAGTTGATTTGTCTTCCTAAACTTACGTAAAACCAGCCATCAACTTCATATTCGATCTCCAATTCCTCTTCTGCGGTCAAGTTTAGCTGCAACAAAACCCAAATACGTTTTTTAACGAATGAAAACATATTTTTCCAGGAATGAACGATACTGAAGCCAAATGAAAAATAAAACGACAATAACAACAACAGAAAAAAAAGCTTACTTCGTCATCTCCTCCTGCGGTGAAGTCATAGAGCGCTGTTCCAAATCTTGTACCAGTAGATTTCCTCGGTTCTTCATCATCTGATTCGTAATTCCGAGAACCAGACCCTGCTACAGGGTTCTCAAACGATTCACGACTTTGTGGTGGCTCAGAATATGAATAAGGCGGAGGCGGCTCTTCTCTTATCTGAAAAAAAGAAAGAAGAAGGAATCATCAGCCCATGTCACAACATATACAAACACATGACACAGAAAAGAATATCAACTTACCGGCGAACCATAACCTTCATATGTGGACTGGTATTTGCTTCCACTCGATTTTGCCTATTTCAGATAGCATATTCATTAAGTTAGGTAGTATACTTCTTTTGATCATCATCTCTAGCTACTATTATTTACGAGAACAGACTTCATGAAAACTTTTGCAGATATTTATACTTCCTCAATTAGCTGTCATATTCTATGCAACACACTGAACCAATTTTTCTTCTCTTCTCAGTTCTCATTGTGATTCGGAGCTCAAAGACATAATATACATGAATGATGATACTCTAGCACCCTAAATAACAGGAAACACTATGGCCTAGAACTGTCACAAATAGCATACTAGGTAATAAGGAGTGGAATTAAAGGAATAATTTTGTGTGTAGCTTACCGTTGCTTGTGAGGAAGGCTTTGAGCTGAACAATGATGGGTAATTCATTCCACCAAAGTGAGAGGATATAGAGCTTTCCACTGATCCAGCAGAATCTGGAGACGATGAACCTGATCTCGCATCGTCTTCCTGTAAGTCATTTTTTAGCATCCATAAATGGTTTATATCAGTCTTTTTTTTTCAAGAAAACCCTAAAGATGGACTTAGCTAAGCGTACCTCCATTTCGTTAGTCTCTAAAAGAGTCTTAGCCCACATGTCATCATAGCCAACCGAAGGTCTAGAGAAGACATTCTCCTCCTCAACATCTGGTGCATCTGTTCCGACTCCAGCAATGAATTCATTGACCTGACAAGTATTATACAGGTCTGACTTCTGACATTCATTTGGAGAAATAAAATAATGGGCAGCATCTATAATGTAGTTATGTAGAAATGAATACTGAGAGATCACAGATAATCAGATGAATGGTAACTACTGCTCATGTGAATGCAAGCAGATTTGCCATCCATTTTTTCACCACAAAAAGAGTAGTCCAAGATAAAGAGGCATGGTAGTGGATAGTAACGTTAACGGTTTAGCAAGTCTTCTCCTGAAACAAGGATTTACTCTAATGGGGTAATTCACGGAACTGTTCTTACTTTCCGATTTCCTGATCAGAAAATTTATTGTGCCTTTCATCTAACGATAAGAAGAATATATAAACAGTACACACAGGCACTAAAGTGTATACATACTAATCCTCTATTCTAAGAAATTAAATAAAAATGGCAACTGACCCTGCTCATTGCTGGGGCGTTGTTTCCAAGAAGACCATCATCACCAAGGTTTGCAGCCCAAGCATTAACCAGATCATCATCCAGGCCACTGGAGTTTGAGGCAGCAGGGGCAGGCTGAGTGGACTCATAAATTAAGTCCGAAATACCAGTAGCAACAACAGTTGGATCGGTTGACCCAGAAGATGCAGTGATGTTGTGCTTTGTGCGGTATGTGTCAATGAGCTTTGCACTTCATGGGTTAGGAGGAAAAAGGATAAAAAAAACAAACATACCAGGGTTATTATATAAAACGGGAACAGAGAAGCACAAAATAACATAAAGTACACCGTGAAGGGAGACAAGCATGCAATGCATACATGAAATTTAAGAATCTGGATATATCTGTTAATTAAAATATTAGTATATATTTAACATGGTTCTTGAATTTTGTCAGAATCTGTGATAAAAGTGATTCTCCCATTTGTTTTTGTCAGAAATAAGGTTATTCACATACATGCAATGCAGTAAACCTTGATAGACTAGAGTAGGCATATGACATAAAAAGCTAGAACAAGAAGTCTCTCGGAAACAATAAAAAAGGGTTTGGTGTTGTCCTATTATTGCCTCCCCTGGGCTCTACGCAAGGTTAGTATCCTACGTGAATGGGTAGCTGTCAATGATTGAGAGAATGAATTCAGAATGTACCTTATCGGACCCAGAGGTAAATACTTGGCTCTTGGAATATAGCAAAACATGGAAACAAAATCTAGCAGCCTCTCATGGGT